TGTGCGTATTAGTGTTGTGACACGGTGAAGGGCTGGGCGCCGCTCGGGGGGGGGGAGGGGGGGGCGGGGGGGGCGGCTGGATCCACCTTCTCCCCAGCAGGTGGCAGAGCCCGTGAAGTGAGGAAGGGGGGCAGAGAGGGCACCGATCCTGGGACCCCAAGCCCCCTCTGCCCTGCTCCTCCTGGCGTCAGAAGCGCATCTCTGCCCACCCGGAACCAAACTCCAAAACACGGTTGAATTGGAGGCCCAAAGGCGGGTTAGCTGGATCAACCAGAGCTCATCACTGGGGGGGGGGTCAACCTTGCTACCAGCCCCTAATTATTCTTCCCACAGCTGGCCTAGGGGTTGCCAGCAGCTCCAGCAGCGCCAAACCAATTCTTTTGCCCACAGAGATGTGCCCGTGCAGGTACGTCCATCAAGGCAGGAGGCCCCGTTCTGCGCCCACGGCCAGAGCAAACGGACCCCCCAGCTGCCCCCCCATCATCAGCTCTGCAATGGCCTCCCACGGAGAAAATTCCCCAGCCGGAAGAACAGTAGCTGCCTTGTCCCAACCCCATTCCCAGAAGAAGAGGCGGCTTTTGGGGGGGCATGGAGCAAGAGCCTGCTGAAACCCCACAGCCCCCCCACTGGTGGGGCGCATTTCAAAGATGAAGGAGACAAAGGGAGGGATTTTTCTAACAGCTTGGGGGGAGGAACAGAAAAGTTACACAGCCGCCTTATTCGGAGGGGGGGTTCCCTCCTAGCCCTTAAAAAGCCAGTTTTTGCAACGGCCGGTTTTCACGCAGGAACCGGTTCCAGGTCCTACGAGATGCAGCCAGGCTCCGCTTTCCACCAGCTTGGCTGGCATGGACTGTGGAACAGGGACGCCAGCGAACGAGGAAGGGCCCAGATTCCCTGTGCTCAAAGGTTTATTAACTGCCTCTCTACCCAAAAGGCAGGCGATCGATGCAGCCCTGGGAGGAACAGCTAAAACCAGCCCATTTTAAAGGCAGAGACACTGAGGCTGGGCACGCAGCTTGCTCCGGAGGTGGAAGAGGTGGGGGGGTCGCGATACAGGACCCCTAGCTGTGGTCTGGAGGGCGGCTGAGGTAGGAAGCAGAGGGGCTCGGTCTGACCCACAGGGATTCAGCCCCCATAGGACGC